AATTGCCTGCTTTGACATGAATCTGGACAGTTTCACTATGAGCTTTTGAATCGTATGCAGCTCCAGAGCAAGTATGCAGGAAGTTAAACTTTTGACGTAAATTAAAACATGCAGCACCTTTTACAGATTAACCATGCAATAAAACACACACGAAAGCAACCCCACTTTGGGGTTACAGTGAATCCCTGTAAGTGGGAGTTCAGAAATTACTCAAGATGAGCGGGTCAAAAGAACACAACGATTTAAGGTGTCTAACTTAAAAGAGATAAATACTCTGCATGTCTGTGATATGCACTAAAGACTTTAATAATACAAGATAATAGGCCTTATTTGTCAGGTACCCGACCACAAATAATACTGGAACTCCAATCATTTGTGGAGGAGCTTTGCAGCCGGACAGTCTGAACAAATTACTCATTGTCAGCCTTACAAGATCATAACAGCTGTGGGCCTAAAGACTTTTTTTCTTTCTTTTTTTTAGCCCGAGTGGCCAAAAATCAATTAATGCAGCTTTAATGCGGATATATTCGCCAGATTCTCCAGACATTCCACAGGGGACTCCCATTGTAAGTATCTGAAATCCTGTTCTTTGCACGTCTAGATTACATTCCTTTGTAAATATCAGCATTGGCGCAGCATTTTACAGACAGATTTGCAAAATAAGCACATTGTGGACGGAGGCCTGTCAGACATGTCTGCACCAGGAGAGGTCTTGTGGCTGGCGTGTGATGTACAGGTGCTAACAGAACCCGTAGCTCCTGCGAATCAGTTCACTTTCCTCCGAGTAGCAAACCATCATTAGAGGTTTTTATCCCTCAGGCTGAGACTAATGGAATCTGCCCTCTTTGATCCTTCACAGAAAAAAAGAAGAGTCACAAATCTATAAAGAATGTGCTTTCTTTATTTACTTTGGCTGTGTTTTTAATTTTAATCTTTAAAAAAATGATCACATGTATATATACAGCATGGGTATTATATATTATTAACGATGATATTTCAGCTATAGAAAAAAAAAAAATAAAGACATGTGATTTAATACCGCAAATTGAGAAATTATTTCCTCAACGTTTGGAATCCAAATCGAACCGATGTCACATGCAACACAAACAAAGGGTTGACATTATGGTCACACAACATCAACAGGAAATGTCATTGAATACAACTGGGCCACTGTGAAATAAACGTTACGCAATAATGACATTAGCAGAGCCATGAAGTAAACGCACCATCATGTCACCACCGTGATACAGACACAGGTTTGTTCTAGAAAACATCAAAGGAAGCGAGTTCAATCTCAAATGCCAGATTACCTGCTTCCAGGGGCATTTATTGAATAAACAGCAAAGACATACTGGGTGAGATAAGTGTGTATTTGCTACATGCTTTATCAAACGGTTTTTATTTACAGTTTTTTTTCAATTGCTAACGAGCATTGTTCAATACTCAAACACTCTACACACGTTCAGCGACACACAAGTGTATATGGACAAAACTGTATCATTTTTCATTGCTTTCAGACAAAATGCATTCAATCACCACATTTTTCAAAATCCAGTTTGTCATTCATACTCCACAAACTACAAAACACTGTACATTTTTCATATGCTAACACACTACTTTCAAAACTCAATAATATAATAAGAATAATGTAAAATTTCAAACATTTCTGCAATTATTTTGAAATCTAGAAAATCTAAAAAGAATCAGTCCAAGTGTCCTGCTTTAGTCTCATTATCATGTTTTAAAGGTGATCGCTTGGACCTGATTTTGTTTGGTTATATGGATCACAGAAGACAGGTGGGTGGGGAAAGAGGAGTGATACGACGGAGAGTGTGTGGAGGACAAAGGAGAGGAAAACCATTTTGAAACCTGTTACAATACAGACATTGTTGTGATTCAGGATCCAAAGGTTGCCTCAGAGAGGAGGGAGAGGCTGAAACCTTTCAGATGTGCAGCAAAACAAATTATTTCTGATTCATTCTTGTTACATACGTATGTCTAGTACATTCAATAAATGAAAAATCTGTTATTATATAATGAAATGTTTGTGTGTGCAAATTCTTTCAATAAAAGTTCATAATTTATGTAATGCTCCCTGTTGCTAGTGTCTTTTAGGTCAGTGTGGTATGAGTGACATGCACGTTTTCTGAATGAGAATCTGTAGTTTTGAAAGTGTGGTTTCAGTATTGAACAATGCTTGTTTAGCAATTGAAAGAAAATGTAAACAGTATGAATATAAAGTGTCATGCTGCAAAAACCTTTCTAATTTCTCCCAATTCAAAGTTGTTGCTCACAACATGCTGTTGTTAAACGACTCACGGTTTTTCATATTTTCTTATGAATAAATTATGCTACATAATACATGCAGAGAAAATGCCACCGCAACCGTTGTTCAGCCGATTGCGTCCAGCCTGCAGCTCATTCCGGACCTGAAGGATGTAAAAACAAGCGTCCCTCTTGTCGGCGGATGCAGCACCTGTCGCAGCTTTTTCGTGACCATACTTTGGTTTCATGACATCTTGAGGAGAAAAACAAAACTCATTCTGTCTCCTCAAAAGTGATTTTTGTGTTTTGTTTCTCTCTGCAGGTGATGACCTGCCCAACCGGTTTATTCAATCAGCAGCTGGAGCAGCCTTTTCCAGCTGTGTTTGTGTGTGTGTTTGGGTGGCTACTGTGGGTCTTTTCTCAGCTTGACGTCGGTAGTGGGACCTACCCGTTGGCCCTATATTGTTCTCCTCTGGTTCAGGGCGTGTGTTAATCAGTGCTGCCTTCCTTGCAGGAAGCATAGTGTTCCCTTGAGTTCCTTTTTACATTTAACTGCTAATTAATTCCCTCCTCTGATTGTTCATCTGTTGCCCTCAACCTGTATTTTACTGTTACTCCCCTCGTTCCATGGATCTCACTTTGGGAACCCAAGAAATTGCTTTCTCCTTAAACAAACCCATTCAGAGGCAAAGACATTGTGGCTGGCTTTTACTTTTTCATATTTCCCAAATACAGTTTAGAATAAGTCAGCTTAGGGAGGGGATCAGAAACCTTGGGATCTGCATCTGTTGCCTAAACGTAATCAAGTACATGGTTGCGTTTGTTATGTTTCAATTATGGTTCACTTCTCGAGCCAAAGCCGTGATTTTCGTTGGCGTTGGTTCTTGCTTTCTTTTGCTTCGATTCACGTTTACGACGTTCTCTGGGAAGAAAAATATGTTTCCCTCAAAGTGTAATCAAGGCTCAGCGACCACAAACTGGCGACCCCAAAGCTCGCGGCAACCCGGAGGAAAGCAGAATGCGCGGGCAGCGCTCAACAGGTGATGCCCGAAACCGAAATGCACTCTCATAAGAACGCGGACCACGAGGAACACTCACTCTGACTTGTTCAACCCTGTAATTTCACACAGTGAGCTCACAATTTAGAAAGTGCTCCGAGGCGATGGGCGGCCAGGCCACAGGAGACACGTCCTCGGTGTTCGCTACTTCTGAACTTCAGGCCATGAAGTCAGTCTTTGTGGTCAATACACACTGGTGACAAGAGGAGGGTCAACTCAACACTTTGTCATCACTGGGGGAACAAAACAATGGGGGGTTTATTAACCTCACTGACTGAAGACTACTGTGACAAATGAGTCAAGTGACTGAAGAGTCCCAGATGTGCATCGAGCTAAGAATAACATGTAAAGAGATTTCAAGGAGAAAGAGGTGTTTTGTAAACAATACTTTTTGACACCCCAAAATGTGCAATACAATCTCCTCACAAAGAAATCCTGCTCACAACATGATGTAAGGCAATATAAGTGAGCAATGGATCTTAATATCATCCCAGATTTTTTATTAAATAGTCCCATCTGATTATTTTTGGTTTTCAAAGACGATAAATTCTATATTTATTTAGATTAAGAGACAATTCATCAACAACTGACCAGGTTTTGATGATTTCCTTTCAGTAGTAAACCTAAAAAACGTTTCCCACAGCAAAATAAAATTTGTGTCATCTGCAAAGATTTTAATAATAATAGTGCGAATATCCTAAATATAAAGTATGACCCATATTGTTGTAAAAACGATTCACGTGGCACCTTGCGGACTTCCCGAGTCCTGAAAAAAAATGTGAGAAATTTACACACATTGCTGTCTGTTGTCCAATAGCTTTTCAGCTTACTTCCCTAAACAATTGTCTGTGATCTGCAGTGTCCATTGTGTCGTTGTGGTTGTTTTTTTCCTTTTTGTAACTGTTCTGAGTCTTGTGTCCCCTTGCTGCTGTTTGGCATCATGTTGTAGTTGGTTTGTACCTCGTTGTAGTTCTTTTGGGGTCTTTGTTGTCTTGTCGTGTCACTTTGTGGTCTTTGCTTCGTTGTCGTCATCTTCAGTCGCTCTGAGGGACATTTTGTAGCTGAAGGTTGGGGGGGCCATCGGGCCCATTGAGGCCACTGGGCCCCTGCCTGTCGGCCTGATCAGTTTCTGCTTGCGCCCCATTATGTATCAACATGCCACAACCCGAGCAATACACACACACACACACACACACACACACACACACACACACACACACACACACACAGTGGGATTTAATGAAATGATTGATATCCAGATTCATGGAGGATACACTGCATTTTATCATAACACCCATCCTAATGTCACTGTGATTACTTTTATTGCATAATGTTCGATTTTGTTGCTTTGGCAACGATGGTCTTGAAAAACGTCCAAGCCAATGACGCCATTTGCCCTCTATGAATTCGAGAACAAGACATCATTCCAAGTTGGACAAGAAACCAACGACCACAAAAACGGCCAAACGTCAGACTGTGTGGCCACTTACGGGTTAAATGTCTTCTAAATCCACCACGCATTGTGCAATTAATGTCCACCGCCATTGAGCGGTTGTGAAAGCGCTTTCATGTCTGATTTAGACCGGTTCAGATTGCCAGTAGAGGTTTCGGAGTGAACCCCGTGCGCGTCAGAGGGCGGCTCTTTACGCACCATTATAAAAGCTTCACGCCCTCCCTGCGCGCGCTGTCCCGCTCCATTCTGGATCTATGTTGTAGATAGACGGGCTACGTCCCCGACGACGTTAGCCTGCACGTTGCAAAGGTTGAAAGTTTGATTTCACGTTATTTGCAGTTCTCCTTCCTCCTTTTCTCCTTCCTCCTCCTCCTCCTCCCGCTGCTCCTCTCGGGAGCTTTGTTTCTCCTGTGCTTGGATACTGCGCGGACTTAAGCATTGGATATGTGCACACAGGATGATGACAACCCCTTTCCTCCCCGTAGAAGTAAAATAAAATAGGCTTTCGCACACACTGGATTTGCCGCTGTCGTTCCATATGAAGAAGTCAAAAGTAAGTGATTGTTTTCCGTTTTTCTGTTTGTTTGTTTGGTTCTACTTGAGAAATGAAATGAAACTGCGCTGCAGCGTGGCGCGGGCCAGGTGGACGCGCTGCTGCTGGACGCACGACTTCCAATTTCACCTGTCAAACGAGTACTTCACCCCCCCTCCCCTTCTTTCCAATTAGTGTGAGCCTTTGAATGGGCGCCACGAGCTGCTTATTCGGGACGAACCGGACATTTAAGTGGCGGCAGGACGGCTTCTTTTTGCCGCGGCGTGGCTCCATCCCCGAGCCGCCAAAACCCGCCGTTCTCCGATGAAGCGCTTCGAAAGCGGCGCGCCCCCCCTCCCCGACCGCCAGATCAATAAACCATCACATGTGCGGCGCCAGACAGGCACAGTCTGTCTATCTGTCCATAATTCAATTAGTTATTCTTCCAAGTATTGCGTTTGTATAGGATGTGGTACAGGATTACCCCCCCTCCCTCTCCGTGGAGGACCGACCTGATTGACCCACCTTTGCAGCCCGGCACAAGTCACTAGTAGGTGAATTAAGCTGTCAGTAATCAGGTAGACTGGGGGTCAGGGCCGCAGGCTGTGCTTCCATGGATGCACAGCCTGTATGTGCAGGAGGTGCACGGACATCCTCCCCAAGACGACGTACAGCATTTCTAAATGCTGGTACCTGATGTCATATTTTATTATCTTCTATTCGTTGTTACCGTGTTCTATAAGTGGAAGGTTTGATCCTCTTAAGACATCCAGCTACTAAAGAGAAAGAGCCCTGTTAGTGTCTCAGGTGAAAACACAAACCGTGCACGTGTGCGTGATGGATCCAATGTGAGAAATAACAATAGAAACCCCTCACTCTGAATGGCAACTTCAGACGTGATCAGATGAGAAATAAAAGGCCGTTAGATAAAATAATAAAGATGTATGCGTGTGCGCATCGGGGAATAAAATGCTTTGAAGTGGGGGGGGGGGGGGGGTTGGGGGGACTCTGCATCCCTGCATCCCTGCTGCTGTTGATCACATCCATAACAGAGGAGTCTCCCTTTATGTTTTTTTAATGAAGTTACACACTAAGTTGTGGCCTGGCTGCCTCGGGTGGACACCTTTCATCTTCTATTCAACCCCCCCCCCCCCTTCCCCCCTTGTGTTGGAAATACTCACAAACGCGTAGGGAATGTGCGGCGGGGATGGCCTGATCGGTTTATGCCAAGAAAGAATCCCCAGGTAATCTGTGGGTCACAAGGTGAATGTCAGAGAGAGAGCAAGGGGGGGGGGGAGAAGTGCGGCGGGGCCCCTCTCGACCTTCACGAAACACCTTGTCACCGGTGGGGAGCGCTGCATTTCTGACGCCTGCGCCATGTATGAGAGATCAATCACTCCGATCTTTAGGGACGTGTGGGAGGTTAACAGAGCCATCACATGTCTTCACCCCCCCCACCCCCACCTATCCACCCCTCAGTGAACGGAGACTCACATATGCGGAGCCCTATGGGGCGTTATTCATCTGAGATCTCTGTCCTGATGGCGGCTGGAGGCGGTGAGCGAATCCTCAGGCCAGCTGCTCACATAACGCAGGCCGGATCCACCTCCGCTTTGTTGTTGTGTCCTCTTATCTGCTCAGGGACCAGCGCGCAACACCAGAAGAGGCTTTTTTTTTTTTCATTCATTGCAGGAAATCTTCACTGTTTCTGATTTTTTGAAAGATGCAAGTAGGTGCCGACCAGAAGGCGATGAAATAACAGAGCTGTGCATCATCAGATTGCCATCAGATTGTGTCACACGGCGATGTGTCACAATTACGCTCTCCAGTAATCCCAGCTGAATGGGTTTGTTTAAGGCGAATTACATCATTTAAGAAGGCAAGTAATGCCGACTTGAATCTGCTAATCGAGTCCATGGTTTAAGGATTGGTTCTCACAGCTCGCTAATGGCTTCTGGTCTATTGCATTATAGCTGTCATGCTGCTTTGAGGTTCTGTGAGCTCACGGCTGCTGAAACGGCTTCCTTTTTAAAGTGGACCCTCTCAGTCAGAAGCCACATGGAAGATCTTCAGTTACTAACACTCTCTCAGCTCACATCGGGGATTAATGGTTATTTGTCAGTCGGCGCGTATCAAGAAGGCTCCGTGACTCGTGCCTTAATCACTGCGCGTCGACTCCAGAAATTCCACCTCAAGAATTTGTTTTTTTTTTAACATTTAAAACCTCGTGGTATCTTGGTTCTTTTTTTATTCATCCTTTTTAACTTTGCCAGCATTAACAGGCGCATCGAAGGTTGTCTCGAGTTTGAGAGATTCAGTCACATTGATCTCCAGGATCTCGTGTTACTGGTTAAACTAAATTCTATTGGTCTGGTTCTGTCATTTTGTTACCGTACCCTCTGGGAAGTGAATGCTTTGTGTGTCATATTTAATGTGCAAAGGTTGATCACATGCATGTTATGCCTATAAAGAGGAATTCTCCCAGCAGATATTCTTATAGATAAATGTAATTTAATATAAAAGGTGTTGTCTCTCATGAAAATAGCCAAATCAAAAATCATTCTCAACAAGAGAAACTCAATTCATGGAAGAAATTGAACAGTTTACGGGGTTTCCTCGTTTTATGTTTTTGGACACCGCAAAGCGTCAGAGCCACAGTTGTAGCAGAGTTTTCAGGAGTTTGGAACATACACTTCTCAGTGCGTTACCGCAGAGAGGCGATTTATAGGCGACACTCGCTGTGTCGTATTGTGGTCAAGTAGATGCCAAAATCTTGGGAATGCAACGTTGTTTCTTCATTACAGAAAATACCATCCAGCTAATCCCGTGTTCCCACTTTTTTCTTTTTCATTAGTCATTGCTTTTTGTAGTCCCAGCCTAAAATGTTGCAGGTTTTTTTCTTCAGAAATAAACTGCATGGCGAATCCATAAAAGCAACAATGCCGACACGGTCTGGGCTCCGGGACTTTTGCCGCGGCTGTCAGCTCAGGCCTCGTGTCCGTCTTACTCTGCATATCGAAATCTGCATATCGGAGTCTGAGATTACCGAGCTCCTTGTAGCCGTGCTCGGAGAGGTGTCCGTTGAGTCAGTAACGGGTTTGAGAACATACCCATGACGCAGGAGACAGAAACCTCGGGGGGAGAAATGGTTTATGGAGATTCTGGCACCATCAACTGCTGTGTGCTGAGGTCTGTCAGTTAGACAATTCCTGCAGGGATTTTTCAACCTGACGCGGCAGCTTGACGCGAGAGGTTGGATCAGTTCAGTGATTTATTAGACCTGGGTTGGGGCTTCTACACAACGTGCCGCCGGTCAGTTAGTGGGGATAATCAGTGTCAGGTGAAGAGAATACTCGACCATAGCCGGGCCGATGGGCTCTGTTAGACATTATTATTCAGACATCCAACAGTCGGCCCGTAGTTTGCCGATTGAGGGGGTTGGTTTCTGGAGAATAGGCGATCAGTGCCATGCAGGCAGAAGATAAGGTGCCACAGAGTTTTGTACGTCAGTATGAGTGTTTTGCACCTAATCAGAGTTGTATGTTTGTGTCGGAGGATACGGGCAGCCCAGTCAACATACCAGTGACACGCAATGGGAGGATGAAGGAAACATCATTACAGTAGTCTGACGATGAGGTAACGAAGGCAAAGGACTTTTTGAAGATTGAAGAATAAGGAGTTCTGGTAATGTTATCAAGGTTTAGATATGTCCATTTCTTCCCTTTCCGATACCAATTTTGACCCCTTATCTGAAAACGAGGTGGCAGTTTTGCCGGCGGGTCTCTCAACACATTAAAAAAGGAGTAAGATTGCTCACTTCTTTCTTGACCCTGGAAAAAAAACAATGGCATGACTGAGTGAGCCATCTTGCCTCTTTCCCACGAGAGACGCGCACACGTACCCTTCGGGCAGGATGTATGGATCTTGTAAAGAGTGACAGGTCTTCCTGTGCAGTGAAAATGATTATTTAATAGCATATTGGTTTGTTGCATTTGGGCTTGTGAACTATGTGATACTCAACACAGCATTTCAGCCCGGAGGCACCTCAGCGTTCGTAACCATTGTTGGTGCACCGCCGATCCGTCTGTCCGCACCGCCCCACCAATTTCATGTTTCTTCTCTGTTTTGTGTTATCGTTAAAGTAATAGCTTTGGGTTTTCCGCACTGTGGTCTGATGGTCACTTTGTGCTCGTAAAGATTGTAATGGCCATTATCCGCAATTTAATGACATTCTGTGCGTGTAAAGACTGAAACAGTTTTTGCTTTTCCGGGCCAACACGATCCGCCAGTAGTTCTGATTTTGAAATGCTGATCGCTGTTTTCGTTTCAGGGTTGTGCGGAGTCACCTCATCTTTCCATCTTCAGGGAGCTGTTGGTTCAGCCGTCACACCCTTTCTGAATGTAACGTCCCCCAGAGTCTTTACCTAAATAGGAATTAGTTTCTTTTAACAATAACATATTCATAAATAGCATAAGAGGGTTTTGGTTGACCTGGTTTTCCTTTTGTGGATCACGATAAGTCGCCTTGTGATGTAAATTTCACCTGGCGCTACTTGCAAATGCTTGATTACCCTGATCTCTGAGCGAGGAAACAAACAATTGAATTAGCACATTCTTCTCTTTGTGTTTGCGCTGTACGTGCGTGTTCAACGTTCTTTCCAATGCCCCGCTTATGTGTGAATGGAAATCTTTTACAAGCGTGAAGTCATCCAAATCAATGAGCTGTGCCTGTGTGCATCTGACTCCGCTGCGGGGCCATCCGACGGGTGTTCCACATGATCCTTTTTACCCTTGAGCGAGGACGAGAGGGAGGGCAGTTGATACAGAGGAAAGTGTGCTGTTCACATGGGCGCTCGTGGCTTCTCGCATTGGCTTCTCGCTTTTTGACTGTGCTCCCGAGCGATCTCTTTAACGGGGGTTGGCGGCCCTTGTTGGAAACATTGTGATGTTTAATCCGACGAATCAGGTGTAACCGCATCCTACAGTCCGGCGGAAGAAAAGTTTACCGCCATCAAACTCTC